AGATTTCTTCAATAGAATTAAAAATAAAATTCAACGAGTATCTCATCTTCTCTCAAAAATCAAGTGCAAGTGTTGTCAATGTTCAAACAACTTTCAAGCATCAGCGACTCAGTTTATATGAGATTAACAATTCAAATTGGTTTTACAAAATGGTCAACAACAAAGATTCATGGGTTGTACAATAAAGGAATTCATCTTTCTCAAGTCAAGTTTACATTTTCAAGCAAATTCAAGCTCTACAGTGCAATTTTAAAATCACAAGCACTAAGGCCCAATGGAGCTAAATGCATGAGCACAAAGGTCCATCAAAGCAAGAAAGGAAAGTGGGTTTGAACAAAATTTTACCCACAGATCAGAGAAAGCAAGAGCAGATTCAAAGCAACAATGAACAAGGAAACCGAGAAATGGTGCAAATCGGAGTCGGAGCAAGCCGCGGCTAGAGGCAGTGGTAAGGCCGCAAGTGTGAGACGCACAAGCACGGGCCGTAGATATGAAACAAGCACACTCGAGGCCAATGACAAGCTGAGCAGTGCTAGGCAAGCCCACACGCACGTCGCGTTGAAAGGGCAATGTGCATAGTCGGCGTTGGACAGTTGAGGACGAAGGCAGTGTTGAAGACGTAGCGGAGTCGGCGTCGATCAAGATCAACAAGATTGAGCTAGGCTGGGCAAGACCACACACGTTGCGTTGAGTGGGCGAACGTGTGTGGTTTGCGTTGGAACCGTTGAAGCCAACAGTGGTCGGAGTTGCAGCAAAGAGAGGTCAGTAGCAGCTTGGGTCACGACATCTGCAGTAGTCGGGGCTGTGACAGGTTGGTGACGCACTCAAAGTTGCAACAGTCGGTGCCCAGAATTGCAGCAGTCAGTAGTGAGCAAGCCGCGAAGCAGAGCCCCTTGAAGAAGACGAACTCTGAATCTGTCTCTGTTAGAGAGAGTGGGCTGAGAATGGGTTTGACAAAAAGGGTTTTAAGCTTGTATTTACAAATCTAATACAGTGAAAGGAATAAAAATAGTTGAGAGGAAGACCAAGGCCCACCAAAAATGGGTTTCATAGTAGATCGATGACAGCGCGAGCAGCGTACGTGAACAGTGAGCTAGAAGGATGCGGGGCAGGCCAACACCGCGCTGAGTGGGCGGCGTGGCCAGCGCTGGTCAGTCACGGATAGAAGCAGCGGTGAGGTCACAGGTGCCGGAACAAAGTGCGCAGGGCAGAGCCATGGTTAGCTCTCGTGTAGGTCGACGGGGTGCAGCACGACGATAGGCAAGCTGGTGTTGCGACAGAGCTGTGGCGGATCACGATGGTTTACGCGATCTTTGGTGATTACAAAAGTTAAAGAAGAGCACTGAGTTGTTGCTCCGATTAAAGAATGTTAAAGGAGGAGGCCGGCTGCAGTGGTATTCAACGGGTTGCAAAAAACATGAAGAAGCTCTGGTATGACGTTGGCCTCTGGTATTGCAGCAGCCCCTAGTTTATTGAAAGAGCGCACGGCAGTGGCTTCTGGTGTTGAACAAACAGAGCCTTCTAAAAGAAAAAAGAGAAGCCTGGGTTGGTCTCTGTTTTAGGAAAAATGGTTGGCAGTATTAATTAGTGCTCTCACTAATTAGGTGGCAGTGGATCGCGTCATTAATGATGTGATGTTTTGGTTTTCAACAATGATTCATCCCACTAAAAACATCACCACTAATAGCACTAATGCATTAAAAGAGTAAAAAAAAAAAACACAACTCCAAGACCAAAGCATCACATCATTAATGACGGGACCCACTGCCACCTAATTAGTGGGAGCACTAATTAGTGCTCCCAAGCATTTTTCTTATGGCTTATAACTACGACTCTTTATGTGTTTTGTTTGCACTGACTGATTTATCAAAGACTCTCTATTATCTTATTAATTTTTAAATATTTCCCTAAATTTAAGATTTAAACAAAATTTGAATTCTTTAAATATAGTTCATGATAGTAACAATTCGTCCCCACCGTTTATGTGATATTGATATTGTTTGCTTTGGGTTTGTGGACAATCACGGTAAGCTTTGGGTCCATGGTAGGGATGGCAATTTGAAACCAACTTGACAGAAACCCGATCCCCCCCTCATATATTCCATACATATATAAATATATATATATATATATAAGAGGCCTGCCGTATTTTCCAAACCCATAAAAGTGTTTGAGCCTTACCATTTTAATAATATTAAAAAATGGGTGCTATGCGTACTTTATTTCATTTGTTTATTTATTTATTTTCTTGGGATAAGAAAATGGATCTTTAGTTATTTTAGATGTTTTAGAAGAATTTGGAATATGCATGCTATTCAAAAGAATTGTAGACTCAAGTTTGACTTACCCAAAAAAAAAAATTTAAGAAAAAAGAAAAGAAAAGAGAAGGTTATTTATTTATTTATTTCATATTACTTGTCGATTTTATCTGTAAATTACAGTGAGCCCTTAGCTTTATCTATGGACTCTGTAAAGACCAAATATTCCTGAAGACGTAATACGAAGCATGGCTAACAAGGTGAAACTATGCATCTCCGAGAAAACTATAATTTCTCATACACGCAAGAGGCAAATGTAAGAGGAGCTAATTTGAGCCCACTAAATTAATTAGGCCTAATAGTCCAAGGTTGGTGGGCCCGAATTTATCGCAAGTCCAAGATTGGTGGGTCCAAATTTATTGCCATTAACCTAAGCTTCGAAAGGGTTCGGATCTACGAACTTAGAGACTTACTCGGGCTCGGACTCGAAAGGGTATTAAGCAAGCCTAGAGATCCGAGGCACTCGGACTCGAAATGGTTCGGATCCACGAACCTAGAGGTCTGACGCACTTGGCTTCGAACGGATTCAGACGCAATCTAGAAATCGCTCCGTTAATGAGTCCCAGAACACTCACGAGCTCGGAACTTTCCGGGATCTATGCACCAGAAGCATGGGCGTAATGGAGTTCGAATAAAGGACCCGATCCCGAGGACGGTGAGTGGAGATAAATTCACTCTTCGGTTAAACTAGCCTATACCCGGGTCGAGGTGGCACGATCTAGGGGGTCCCTGAGACTCGGCAATATTTGCGGCAGGGCGTTCTCTTGAACTACCCCTGACCCTTATGCGGCAGGACGTCCTCTGGGACTATCCCTGACTCTTTGGGATGATTGGGGATCATTGGTTAGGTGTGGCTAAGAAGAAGGGTTCGCCGAGAGGTTGATCTCCTCTCCGGGGTTTTCCTCATCCTCGGAGAGGTCACCTCCTCGGACAAGGTGGTTAGAGAGAATATTCCCCATGTGCCTTGCACATGGGTTCCATCCTACATCATGAGGTGCCTATAAATAACACCCACCCATAGCTTTACAAGGGATGGATTTTGGAGATTTAACTCTTGGGAAAGAACTAATTTTCCTTCTCCATTATCAACCTTGAGAGTGAAAGTGGGAGATTCATGGAAGAGCCTTGCCATTATTCTCTCTCTAGCCACCTTGCCTTTTTCTTCACCCAATCTCTTAACTCGATCATCTCCTTTACTCTTGTGTTCCTAAGTTGAGACTATTGAAGAATCTAAGCCTCTCATCATCTTCTAGAGAATTCGAAGTTGTTCTTCAAGGATCTTCGAAGATCTTCAAATTTTCCAATGACGTTCTTGAACCCTCTCATACAAACTGAAAATGAAAAATCATGTTAAACTCTTGCATCATGATCCTTTTTGCCAGCCGTTGGTTTATTTTGTATCCGAATTCAGCTTTGAACTATGTAATTTACTAGCTTGACTTTTTTTTTTGGTCGAATTAGTAACAATTTTTGTGTGCTTTTGTATCATTTTTTTTTTGTTGGTAAACGTTACTTCAACGTTACCAGGCGGAATGTCTAAAATTTGAGTCTTATTGTTGCGCGTTGTAGTTTTCCCTTCCTTGAATAACTGGAGAATTAGACCAGCTAGTCAGGACTGAAAGAGCCTGCTGTTGTGGACGAGGAAGTGCGTGTTTCTATAATTGCATGGCATAATCTTTAAAATAATTAGACGTCTCAGCAAATACAAAGTAGTATGTATGAACCAAGTATTCAAATTATTTTCTAGAAAATGCGTTCAGACATGGAAAAGTTCTAGTCAATGTCGAGTGTGAAAAGAACTGGTGAGGCTTGATATTTGATGATTAAAAGCTAATTCAAGTTCTACAAGTCAACCCAGTATCGAAATTGCTGACTTGGGGGTACTCATTCGAGTTGAAACTACAAACGAGTTTTCAAAGTTGGGGTTCAAGTTCTTGAATTGATCAATTTATTGGAATGGAATCTGCACTCTGTTCATATGCCACGTAAAATAAGAGGTTGATTGATCGAGTAGAAGCTAAAGAAAAAATTATTTAGTAAATCCGACGTATAATATACGTGGTGTGTCCTTTAATTGTAGTGAGACACACAATTATTTTATTTTTAATTTTTTAGATAAGATAGTCATATGTCTTTTATTATTGAATGAACATACAATTACATAATATATGTTGAACTTAATAGATAATCTCTCCTAAACAAACAAATTACTATTATTATTATTATTGAGTCTTAATTCATTGAAATGAACCCTCTACATAAATCACAAATGAAAAAGTTGCAGATACTATTCAATTGTTTGAATGAAGGACCATTTTCATTAATAATGCAAATAATCTTATAGTGAGAAACGAAAAAAAAGGACCTCATGACATCCTTGAGGTTATATTCAAAGTGGTTGAAAGGTCCAAAAATAGTACATCACCTGGCAACATTCTGAGACATCAAGTGCTCAAATCTTTCAACTTGTGCGTGGGTTTATTTTCCTTGTTTTAGTTGGTGTCTCTCTCTCACTTTAAAAAGTTTTTATGTCATTATGATTTATGTTATAATTAAGGATTCATTCTATTTTATTGTAATTAATATATATTGTAATAATTATAAATTTAAAAAAAAAAAAACAGAAGCAATGCGATGCGACTAAAATAACACATGTTGGGACAAGTTCACGAACACGATGGGATGAATGAACTATTAATAGGGTTATTAATAACCAAATAAACAATCACAAAAAATATAAGCAGAGTAATTTGAGTGGAGTAACTTCTTCAGTACTGGACTCCACCGTCTATGATGTATAACCATCAGACAGACATCATATTGGAATTTGATCGATCAAAATGGAATTTTTAGTGGAAAGGAACTTCACCCAGAACACTAGTACTTCCCAAAAAAGATTTCTGAAGCTGTGAACTCTGGCATGCCATCTTTGATGGAGTGAGTGGGTCAATAGTATGACAAGGGCTGAAACTGAAGACAACCCACTGATAAGAAATAAACCTCCAAAGCTATCAAAGTTGAGTCTGTTGGGGGAGCCCTTAGTCACGGAACTGTTCTGCATCGACACTAGAGTTGATGGGCTATTAAACCATGCCTTCTCTATCTTCGTCAATGTCCCATTTTCCCTTAGCTGCATAATCGCCCTTGATATCTCTGGAACCAATGGTGAACCTTTTCGAAAAGCCTGCAAAAGAAAGAAGGCGACACATGATAAGAAACCAACTAAATTATATGCACATTGAGCTGGAAAAGCACCAGATCTAGCCCCGGAAACTTGTTCCCCATCTCTATCAAAAAGTTACAGGCACATTCACATACATAAAAATGAGAGGGAAAATGCTCATGTTCATTCATTAAGCTATTTGGCTCCTCATGATTTACTCCATGCTAATGTAAGTACTCATGTTCCAGAGTACTACTGCGACATTTGTAGGTGATCTTTCCTACTAATGAGGCCGTGCAACATGGATGGATGAGATCAATCTTTATCTCTTACCCATCCAATCAAGGTGGGTTAGATCGGCTCCGTCCATCTGTGACTAGCTACTGAGGTCTTATTTTTAAATAGGGCTATAAGAAAAATTCAGTGAAACATAACTGACTGTCCGAGTTGAGCAGAGATTTCGACTTTCAATTGATTTTTCACAAGGTATAGTTTGTTTCAGTTTTGAAAATCTTTACATCTATATGACCGAACCGACCAACAAAATATTATATTTAAGTACTTTTTATTTTTTATTTTTTAAAATATTAGAAGATAAATGACCAAAGTGTACACGTTTTGTTACTATTGTCTTCATTCATGCATGATGTGAAATTTTACGAGTTTCTATAAAATCTTTAAAATCTTCCGTCAATTGCTTCTCTAGATTGAAAAACCAACAGAACCAAATTGTAGCATGTGGTCAGTTACGATTCCTCAAACCAACAAAATCAAAACAATTCAGTTCATTACTAAATTTTCCCCCAACCTCAACCAAACCAAACCAATTACACCCCTACTCATAAGTAGTTGAGGAATGATATACAAGAAATTGAGGAATGATCTACTCACAAAACCAAAACCATTGGTGGTAGACTCGGAAGCAACCATGGCATAGCTACCAGAATACTTGGCAAGGAAGATCTTGATGTATGGGATCTCATCAATAATAGCAGCAACACTTCCACTTGATAATGCATCAGCGTATTCTTCAGGTGAATTATACGGCATAAGGGAAGAGTTTTTGAAGTTCAAGTTGCTGACTATGACTCCTTGCAAAAGAGAACGACCTTGGTACCCTATATAATCCCCCTTTGAAGCTAATTGAATCTGTTGAATAGTCAACAGTGAAGTCAAGGTCGCTGTGTAGCTTGAAGTCAATATAAGCACCACGAACAGCCAAACAATCACTACAAACCTTGACAAGTTACTTAACAACTTCTCTCCTGCAATGTCCAATGCCAAAAGAAATTAAAAAAAATCATAACATGTCAGTCATTGCAAATACAATTTATATCTAGGCTACTCCTAAGAATATGGGAAAGAAGAACTGCTAAGCAGAGCGGACAAAGGCACATCGACCCAACTTCGCCTTTGACGAGGTTTGAATCCCCACACTCTCCCATATGAGAGTATTGGGGAGGTGCCATTGGGCTAAAAGCCCTTGGCGTCACTCAAGTAATTCTTAAATATGATCTACTTTGACAACATTAAGTTAAGAAAAGTCTGTTGCTATACACAAAGCGATTGGGTTTAATTATCCTGTATATGTGAGGTCAGAGTCAACATGTACCAGGGGTTAGCCTCAATACCCTCGTTGTCAACACACAAAAAAAGGTGATCCGGTTTTGGAGAAGAGAAATGAGACAAAAAGCTTACTATGGGCAAAAACAAGGGTTGAAAAGGAGAACCAGAGGACGGTCCCAATTTGCTGAGCTCGTGAACCTTGGAATTCTTCATTAATGGGACGTTCAATGATCCAAACCACAAAGCCTGTTAGGATAAAGAAACCAGCACTTGTTAGCCACAGATCTGAATCAAGTGGCTTCAAGAAGATCCACATGTTCTTCTTCATGTCAACTCGAGCTACTCTTCCAACACCTATGTCGGTGTAAGTCAATGTGAAGTCGACATACAAAGATCTGTTGGCCGTGATAGTAACATCCCCCACAACAGCATCATAATTCTAATCCATCCATAGAGCAACACAAAACAAATGTTTCATGAAAAAATCAAGTTTTTTCTTATAAATTAACGTAGATGTTTTACTTTGGAACTATTGATCAGTGTGATATCAACAATGCTACGTATCCAGAAAAGTGCATAGAATTTGGAATATGTAGCGCAGATTCATTCTGCGTGTGGCATATTCAAATACTAGGCACTTTTCTGAATATTTTTCTTCTTCTAGATATTTGATTGCCCAGAAAAGTTTCTAGGCACATATTCAAATTCTGGGTACTTCTCTAGATATCATTTTTGGTGTGATATTTGATTACATTTGAAACAGAATGTACCTGAAGATAGACCTGGTCTACAAGATCATTGTATGTTCCTGCCATCTGTCCATTGGCATCCTCAAATGGAAAAAATTCATGAGGCAGTTCATATTGTAAGGCTTCAATGGCAGCATTGAATACATCTACACAAAGGCCAGTGACAGTGGTTGCATTGGTTTGAGGATTGCGGTTTACATTTATCAATTCCTTGAACCCTGTTCTCGGAACACCAATTCTAAGCCTTTTCCCACTCATTCTCACCAACCAACCTTTTGGAGTGGTTGTAGAACCGCCTGGCCATACAATGGCTTCAAGACCGCTGTTGGATGGGTACATTTGCTTTGTAATTCCATATGTTGATGTCCAAAACCCAACTCTCCTTTCAATTCTGCTGATCACATTCACTATTTCAAAGGCCTCGGAGATCAATCTCCCATTCATGAGTCGAAAATCACCACTTAAACCCACAAATCTACTCTGTAATATCTCTTTTAGAAGCATTGACCCACTTTGAGAGGTTCCAATGTTAACCAAGTCCGTCAAGTTCCGCCCCAAGCTGCATTTCCTAGTTGGTTCTGACCCTCCTGAGTCCCCATGGTGGTGGGATAGTGCACTAGGACTGCCATTTTTTACCATCTCAACTGCCCTTGCCAGTGCCCAAATTGCATCATATGCCCATATACCAAATATATTCAACTCTGCCACTTCAAAACTAGGATCTTGAATGTGAAATTTCCTTTTCCATCTTAGAGTGAAATTGTGGAGCTCGCCTGACGCCAGAATGTATGACTTGGAACCGAAAGCTCCTTGCATTGACTCTATGGCAGAAGAGTCCATGCTATGCAGTAGGTTCATGGTTTTAGCAGTTACAATCCAAGCATACCCTTCAGTCATCATTCCTAGCTTTTTCACATTTAGAAAAAGCCGAGAAGCAAGAGAAGGTGAGATATGGACTATATATACTGTTGTTTGCGTAGTCATGAGCTTGTGAAGCTCTTCAATAATTTGATCATTAGTGGCTGATGGAGAAATGGAACTCATGTATGCAATATGCAAACCAGTCTCTTCAAAGGTATTAGCTAAAAATGGGAGAATTTCTCTCCCACAATCAGTGTCCTCATGAACAAGGATGACATTCCTCCATCCAAATGACCCTATAATGTCTGTAATGCCTTTGAATTCAGTGATTTCATCTGATTTTATTTGAACAAAATAAGGATTATGGGTGGAGCAAGGACTGGTCATGAAAGAAATGATAGGAACTTTAGCTTTGTCTCCTAAAAAGGCCAAAAGTTTCTCTTCAAGCGAGGTCTCAGGGCCTATGATCATTGCTTGCACCTTGATGTTATCTATTAGATCAAGAGCTGCAAAGGGCAAAGTAGAAACCTGAATCAGAAATATCTGAACTGTTAATGTAATCACAATTGATCTTCATTAATTGAAGCTTTATATGGGATATTGCAATCTCAATTAACACCACCACTGAAAATTGAGTACGATTATAGTTGGTGTGGCATCTTGCTTGGATCGACCAAGTACATTGACAGTTTGAAGGTAGCAAGTGAAATTTATTTTAAGACAATCTTGAGGAGTAGGACATGTGATTTCAGATTATTCTTCAAGAATTGGATGTCCCAAGTTTGAGTCTCCTCTTGCAAGGGGCCAAGTACATGGGTTTCCATGAGCTAAATTACAAAATCACTTATTAGTTGGAGTGTGTAAGACTATTTCGATGGGCCTGACAATGTTAGATCCCCTAAAAGGAAAAATAAGCATTTTTTAGTCAATCAGTAGGAGATAATTTACAAATATCATAAGAACTACAACAAATTAGACACCAATTATATAACAAAGTCCTACATAATACCTCAAACTATCAAAATAATGACATTGCCAACTGGATGCTACTGAATGTTGGGGAATTTTCAAAAATAAAATGGGTTTATTTTTTATTGTTTTTCCAAACCTTCCTTTTGGAAAGTTTTTTAGCTTTGTGGCTTGTCTCACATCAAAAACATGAGAGAAAGTTTAAGAGTTAATAAACTCCCACATGGAATATCCTTTTCAATAAGTGGGAAACGTGCTAGAGTGAGCACACACTGCACGGATCGTGCTTTGCACATGTGCATGGCGTTTGATGGCGCACTTTGCATGGACACATCGGTATGGAGACGCTTTCCTATTTGCTCAAGAAAAATTGGATTCACAGTTTCACATCACATAACCATTAACTTGAACAAACATAATATCTATGGTTTTAGTATCTAAATCCGGAACCAATCTGCGGAAACTGGTTTCCCAATTTTCCAATCTAGAACTGAACCATGGATTAAAAAAACCAACATTTGTAACGTTACTTGACTTGTAAAAATCAAGTTGTTCGTTTTGAAGTAAAGTCATCAACCTTGTTAGAATAGTAGAGAGAGAGAGAGGAAATAATATGTATATGTATTGTAAACAAAGTATAAAAATTGCAGCGGATAAAATATTTAGATCATACCTTTAGATGATAGAACCTCGTGGGTAAATCACGTGTTTCCAGAATCTTCAGATGAACCAACCCAGCAGTGAAGTGATATTACAGAATGAATATCACCCACACAAATCACAGTGCAAATGACTTGATCGTTGTTTTTGGGAGAGAATCAATATATGGGTAAAAAACAGATCATCCGTTGTTTTCCTTCTTAATCACCCATAACCCATATACCAGATATATAATATGTTATTATTATTTATCCATATCAGTTAATCAGAGGAGGAGGCTTGGGTGATGCGCCAAGGGGCGACTTTGGTGGTGCGCCATAGGGGCGGCTTGAGTTGTGTGCCACAAGGGATGGCTTAGGTGGTTTGCATGGTGTACAACCATGTTCACCATGACACCAGAGATGGCAGCTTGGATTGTGTGCCAGAGGAAGCGACTGGGGTGATGCGCCAAGGGGCGACTTGGATGGTGCGCCATAGGGGCGGTTTGAGTTGTGTGCCACAGGGGATGGCTTAGGTGGCTTGCATGGTGTATAACCATGTTCACCATGACACCAGAGAGGGCGGCTTGAATTGTGTACCAGAGGAAGCGGCTGGGGTGATGCGCCAAGGGGCGACTTAGGTGGTGCACCATAAACACCGTAATCTCAAAGAATTTGCTTCAACACTGAACCCCTTGGGAAAACAAGTATATTTACAGGCACAGATAACAAATGTAGGATTAAAAATGTCACCCCAGATTGCAATTATGGTACCAAGATATTAACTACCGAATGATAAATCAAGAACATAGATAGAAAAACACTTGCAATTGCATGCCCATGAAAAAAAAAAAAAAAACTCACCAGCAGACAGAGCAAGCAGGGGTTCCCCATTGGAATCCCTTGTATGAAGAACAACCCTTGTTTTATAGTGATTATTTACAGCATAAAAATCGGAAATTGCCATCATAATGCAGCTATGAACAACCTTCCCTACCCATGATCCCATATCAAGAATCACACCAACCTTAATCTCACTCACAGCACCACCAAGATTACTACTACTACTCTGGCTCTGGTATGCAAATGCATCAAGCTCTGCATTTGACAGAGTTAGAAGCCTCAACAACACTGGCAGTATTAGAAATGAAACCTGATTGTTTTTCTTCATCCTCATCTTGACTCAGACAAATGGGGTGTTTGTTTGTTTAGCTTTTTTTTTTTATTTATTTTAATTATTAGCCTCAATTTTCTCATAATATTTTCTTATATAAGCATGTTCAGGATACGCATTTGAAAATCCACAAACGGGTTTTCAAAGCTGAGCTTGAAGTTGTTCTTGAATTGACAAAGACCAACTAACGCGTGTTTACAAGTCAATAGCACTACTAGAAATGAAACCAATAATTAGCTTGTTTGGTTCTATTTTCAGGAATATTCACTTTTTTTAAAATTAAATTTTTTTATTTTTTTGTACTTTTTTGTTTTCACTAAATTTTTTTAATATTTTAAGTAATTTTTTTTTTAAAATTTTTCTGAGCTTGAAGTTGTTCTTGAATTGACAAAGACCAACTAACGCGTGTTTACAAGTCAATAGCACTACTAGAAATGAAACCAATAATTAGCTTGTTTGGTTCTATTTTCAGGAATATTCACTTTTTTTTAAATTAAATTTTTTTATTTTTTTGTACTTTTTTGTTTTCACTAAATTTTTTTAATATTTTAAACAATTTTTTTTTTAATTTTTAAATACACCTACCATAAATATACTTAAAAGGTATAATATTTGTGAAAAAAAACTTTAGAAAATTCACTAAATATCAACAATACAAAAAAAATAAAAATTCAATATATTTTTCATATTTTTGTGTATTTATTAATTTTTATAAATATTTTACTGTTTAGATATATTTAAGTAAAGTGCATCTAAAAAGGTAAAAAAATTGCTTAAAATTTTAAAAATATTCATTTAAAACAAAAAAAATACAAAAAATAAAAAACTTAATTTTCAAAAAATTGAAACCAAACACACTGAACGTGTTTTTCTTCATCAACCTCATTTTGTTTTGTTTTTGACGACTCAGACAAATGAGATGTTTTTTGTTTGGAATGATCTAAATAAGTGTACTTTTTAACTTTTTAGGAAAAGATGTGTAGAAAAGTAGAAAGGTAATGTGACCCAAAAAAGATAAAAGATAAAAAGTATGTTTATATAGCACACCCCAATCAATCAGGTTTATATAATTTTAATTACATTATTTTTATTTTTAAAATTTTCAAAAAGTCTATTTAGAATTTAAATGCAAATTAAGGGGTGAAACTGTCAATTTATTATCTTTATAGTGATTAAGGGATTGACATCTAATTTAATTTATTTTTTTGTCAATCAATATTACATCAAATAAACTACTAATCCAACAATAATTAAAAAAATTAACAATCACTAAACCTAACAAGCAATCACCAAGTCTCAAGTTTAGGTCTTCAAATTTTATTGATATTTTTCTATTAAAAAAAAAGATGAAGAAAATTTATTAGAAAATTCTTTTTTAAGTGTTTGTATCCCAATTAGTCCACAATATATTCTTATATTCTAATAAGTCTTATTATTTAGATATTTGATCTACAAAATCCTAATTCTCATATTTTATGGACATTTCTACCCTTACAAATATTTTTTGAACGGTTAACAATTTAGTGATGTGAACATTAATATTTTACAATGTGAATATTCACATTGATCGTGTGAACATTCACATCATGGAACATTCACACTACAAATGTGAATATTATTAGAGGTATTTTGGTAATTATGTCACCCATAGGACTTATTGGAACATAAGAAAATAATGTGGACTAAATGGAACATAAGTAGGTGAAAAGGGTTTTATGAAAAAGTGTCCCTAAAAAAAATCAAATTTTTAATGTCTTTTCATATTTAATTAAAAAAAATTAAATATGGATTTAAAAAAAAATTAAAAACCCTAAACAGGAGGGGAAAAAAAATTGTGTCATTTTTAATGAAATTAGTAAACATTTTCTTATCAATCGAAGTAAAAGTTAAATTCTTTTACTAAAGGCTAATGAAGTCAATTACATCAGAATGATTATGATCCTAAATATAAAAAAAACAAAAACAAAAACAAAAAAAAAACAAAAACAAAAAAAACACTTCTGTCAGTTTTAATGAAATTATTTAAAAAATTCTTATCAATCAAAGTACAAGTTAAATTCTTTTACTAAAGACTGAAAAAAAATCAATTAAAAATGATGGAGTATTTACCAAAATAAATAAATAATTATAGTGTAGCGCCCTCAAAACAATACGTAAAACTCATTACTTTAGACATGTATTGACATAAAAGAAACCAACCATCTTTTCATTAATCAGAGTAGTTCTTACAAAAGTATTACATGTTAACAACAAAAGCAAGTGTCCTACGGGCTTACAGCTTTCCAAGTTAACACTTGGTTACAAAAAGAAGAGTTCTAACTCAATACATATTAAGCCCTTGGCTTGAATTTACATGTAATACATCAAAAGAAAGCAAACAACAGAAGCAGTCTGTCTGCCTCTAGCCTCCCAAGCTATGTCCTTGGAGGTGGCATGCTACATGTACCTGAAAATGATGTCCCATAAAGGGTGAGCCACAGCCTAGCAGAAATACACTAAACCAACTATGAACAATGACTAAAAGGTTAGCAGTTGATAGATGGTCAACACCGATACACTCATTTATATCACATTTCAGTTTCATGACATTTAAGTTCATGTTACACTTCATTTTTCATTTCTTTTTCAACCTTGAATTTGAAAACAAGGCTCAACACTTAGTCAAATAACTTAATGAGAATAAGACTCATCTTAAAAACACTTTCAAAATTCATGATAGATACACATTTTGATGATGTATCAATAACACATAAATCACTCCCATACTATACGAACGATACACATTTTGGTGTCGTATCAACATAACATAGAAACACTTATATACTTCATAATTGATAACGATATACATTTTAGTTCTATATTAAATCAATTTAAACACTTCCATAATCAACACTTGATACACATTGTAGTGTTGTATCAATGTCACACGAAATCCGATTTAGAGGTCCATCCCCTATCTTCCCCTAAACCGTGGAGTACATCCCCTATCTCCTCCCTCACACACACACAATGTATATAAACATAGATCATATACATAAACAACCAATACATAAAGTCGATGTATTATTCCTACCGCTATATTCGATAGTATACTCAATCGATTAGTTTTACTTTGCCTAATCATCATGCATTGTCTACAACAATCAAGACTATCCTCCACCGATAGCCCAAAACAGTTATTTCAAAACAGAAAATAAATGTACCAAATAGATATATTATCAACATTCAACTTGGGTGAGCGATTAAATGAATCCAACTACACCCGTTAATCCCATAATCTTTTCAATTTGAATACTCTCAATTCAATTCCTCATTTCTCAAAATTAATTATACGAATTAATTTATCCAACTAATTAGGGTATTTTCTCATAATTAACATAACAACCCCAAGGTTCCACTTTTATCCATAGTTCATCATCTATATCATTTCTATATGCCAAACATGCATATAGGTTTAATTATAAATAAAACCCCATCTTTTGTAAAAATACACAAAGGCCCAAACTTTCTCAAAATTACCCAACAACCCCCAACATATCAAAATGCTAAAATTCAAAGACAAAGCTCATAAGGAGGAGTAGGATATCCCTACCTCGAAGTTAGAGCTCAAACGAAGAAGGAGAAGAAAACGAAAATGCTCCAAACACCAAGATTCTCGGATCAAAACGAAGCCCTCGACGATCAACACACTCTTTACAAAGGCCGAAGGATAGGGAGACACTCTAACTAGATCAAACCCTAGAGAGAAGGGAGATCCTAGAGAGAGAAGCTCTCAAAAAGTGTTTTTAGAAAGTAAGAGAGAGAGAGAGAATGTAAAAAGTGATTTTAAAACGCCCAGCTGCCAACTGATATACGACATACCTGCTCGAGCGAATAACAGGACGCTCGAGCGTCAAGAACAGAAAACTG